GGATCTGAATTCGGAGAGGAAAGATGTAAATAAACTGGTAAGATCTGTGGTGTTTGAGGGAGGAGGAATGTGGGGAATTTGGTGTTGATAAAACTGTTGATTAGGTGAAGTTTGATTAAGATGTTGAGGGTGGGGTTGAGAATTTTGAGGCATGTGTTGTTGTTGCGGCAGGGTCTCACAATAAGTAACATCATTCTTACCTCCTAATAAGTGTGCAAAAGACACCGTTGGGTCAATTATTTTTGAAGGTCCTCTTCTTGATGCGTTAGGTTCTCTTCTTGATGCCTCTGCTTCTTCTTAGGTCCGGGATTTTTGATATCTTGATTTGATATTCTTGTAGATCTGACAGCCTTTATAGTTCGCTGGATGTCCTTCAAGGCACAAAGCACAAACTGCAGGATCCCGTTTCGGTTTTGTGCACTCCCCGGATTTGTGCTGCTCTCCACACTTCACACAGCGCGGAAGATGATGGCAGTAAGTCCTGGTATGGCCATATACCTGGCAATTGTGACACTGTACGATTTCCCTCTTAGGATATGGCTTCTCTACTATAACACTTGTGTAGTATATTCTTCTAATTTCATATATTTTTTCAATCCCTTGATTTGGCTCCAAATCTACGAAAAATAAGGGTAGAGGAACTTTTACTCCTGGCTGTTCTTTACTCTCCTTCTGTACATTTGTAATCTGGCGCACTATGAAACCTAAATTTTTCAATTCTTCTTCTATTGCTTCGGTTGGTGTTGAGGGGTGTAGATTTCTTATGACTACCCTCAAAGCTCGATCTTGCCGTAATTGGTACGTATGAAAATCCGCGTTGGTTTCCATTAGATACTTCACAATTTTTCTGTAGGTTTCAGCTGTATCTGGTGATATCTTCGTGTCCTTTGTTCTGCTTAGACATGAATAGCTTCCAGAGCCTGTTATTTTGTTCAGTTGTGAGCATAGTAACTGAAAATTTTTTATGTTTTTAACGAATATGGGTGGAGGTCGGGGATCTCTTGGTATTGAAGCGGATTCCATCACTTCTTTATCATTCTGAAGCACCTGATAGGGGTTAGGGGTGAAAAACGGAGATTGTTCGGTTATCTCTTGTGAAGATGTACCTGGTTGTTGCTGAAGTTCTTCAATTGTTGGTTTTGATGATGTTCCTGGCTGGGTTTCATTTTCTCTGGAGCTAATAGGCGTTACTGCAGGTGTTTGACGACATTGACGAGGCTTTTGTTTGACTGGCGAAGAACAAGGTGTTGAGCCTAACGGCCGAATTCTCTTGATAGACGCTCTACTAGAAATGGCCTGATGGTGATATCGCATATAAGGAAAAAAAAAAAAAAAAAAAAAATAAATAAATAAAAATAACCCTATAATTTATAACAAACAATAAATATCAATTGTTGTTATGTACTCTTGGCCTGTTTTGAATAGATAATCTCAAAGATTTCACTGTAAAATAAGCAAATTCTGAGAGACGATGTAGAAACACGACCTTTCGCATCAGCTGATCCACCATGTGTCCGCATCAATACCTTCAAATTATTAAATTATCTTTTCAGAAATAACTGTCCCACGGCAACTGTGGAATCATGATCCGTCATTATCTCGAAAACGGACAACTTCTGGCCGTTAAAATGCAGGCCCAGCACATTTCTTTTACCGAGTTTTGATGCCCGCGTCGAAATCTTTAAAAGACAACTTATCCCGTTTTGACCCTTCGAATTAGCATCGTCGACGTTTTAAGATTTGAAATTAGAATTCGTCACCCTCGAAAGAAATTCCCTTCTTTTGACACCTCCTTCGTCAAAATCTATCGCTCCTGAGAGCCGAGACAGGAATTTATACTACTGTATTGAATATATAATAGATAAGGATGCTTAAAGAAATGTTTTCAAGGCAGCCATCGATCCAATGTTGTATGGGCTCGTCCTTCACATTTACAACAAGTCATTAGCGAACGTTTTGTTAAGTGAAGAGTTTGATTACTTCATTAAAAATTCATAGAACATAACACAGTATGATTCAGGACATGTCTGTTTATTTATCATGTTTACGTTGTCAACACATTAACACTGATTACGACCTCCTACGTGTTTTGAGATTTCATACATCTTGCATGACGTAAAAAAAACGTGTTAAACGAGTTTATCATTAATAAATTAAAAAAAAAAAAATGTAATACAAAGATCACTTTAAGAGTTATAAACCTTTACAATAAAGTTTGCATGAGAACTCAACTATGATTTTAATGAAGTATTATTTTTGATCTTGCATTTAGTTTTCTAAACAAGGCTGTGAAAAAAAAAAAATGAAAAATCACATTTGAGTTAAATTTTTGAAGAATAATATCAAAACCAAAAAAAACCTAATAAATAAAAATACTGTTTTTTTAATGAGAAATTTCATAAAAGTTTCAATTTCTACTTGCTTTGTGTTATATACATCTGAGCATAAATATGCAGATGCCCACCATAAAAAAAAATCTGAAAGAAATAATATGAGAGTGAATAAGAAATTCGCTCGGTGTAAAATTTAATCAATAGTAAAAGGTCTATTTATTTCATTTCTTTATATTTTCTATGTCACCAATTGTTCATCATTTAGGAACTATAATACTGGAATTACGGAAAAGGTCTTTTTTTAAATTAAATCTTAATAAAACATAAGTTTTTAAACTGAAAATTAAATATTAAAAAAAAAAAAAAGGTTTTTTTTTATTCACTAAACATTTAATAAAGGTTTGAAATTAAAAATTGTATTGGCTAGTGAGAGCAAAATGTAAGGAAATCACAGTGCACCTCCTCACGCAACGTCACTTTGGGATCACAGCCAGACTGTCCGAAATTGATTTAAGTCGCCTCGTTATCAATAAAATTTATCAATAATTGAAGGGGATTGCCGGTATAAGTAAAAGTGGATTAGGATTGAACTGAAGGATTTGGATGAAAATTTTAACAGCACTATACAATATTAAGTAACATTGTGTGAAATCTCGGAACACAGAGCATAAGTGAGAACAATCTATTTCTGTAGTATTCCGTATTCTGTTAAAGTGTTATTTTGTTATTATATAATTAATATAATTCATTTTGTCATTTATCAGACCATTGTTCAAAAATTAAAAATCAAGTATGCCCATCACACTTTCACTTACCACAATACGTTGGGAAGAAATTATTTTCTAGCAAAATTGGGGAAATACAAAAAGGTTTTTAAAGATTATTTTTAATAGAGATGAACCTTAAATAACACAATCGTGGATTTCGGTCATATTTAACAATGAAATAAGGCTCCAAACGCAGCAGTCGTAGATAAGAGATCGTCCTCACGCGGCTAAGGATACTAGACTAATACTATAAAACATATAAGGATACTAGTCATTAACATATATAAGGATACTAGTCATTAACTATAAAACATATTTTGGAAGAGTGCCCTTTTTACACCGCAAGGTTAAAAGATCTCGGAATACCCTAGAATATATCAGCATCCCTGGGAAATCAGAAGAAATCCTTACCAAAGTTATGAAGTTCCTAGACCATGAAAAAATTATAAAACATGTATAGCAAGTTTATAACTAATGATCCTTTGCAGATTTTTTTTTTTTTTAAGTTTAAAAGTTCATCTTATTACCTATAAGTGTCAATTATTATCATTATTTATTTATTTTATTATATTAATTCTTTTATTTTAATCCTTTTTTTGAACTTTTTCTTTTTTAATTTGTGCACCAACCACCTGAACAGCTATTGTAGATGTAGAAAAATAGTAGATCGTATACAATTACACTTGCTGCGGCCTGTTCCATGTTTCACGTCTGTACCTTAGTCCGAAAATTATTCATAAACCTGTCGATATTTGATCCTTCACAAACTTGTCAAAATATGTCCAACTCAAAAATTTTGGTGACGCAATTTGCACCATGTAACTCCCTTATGGTCTCACCTCTGCTTAAGAACAATAAAATAATTCATTGCCTCGATTCAGTGGATGATATATACATTTTTTGTCAAGCTTGGAATAAATTGTAAAGTTTTCTGGTTATTTTCTACGGAAATTTCACTAGTTTCCATGATTACATTAATTTTCCATTCAATAACATAAAAGTGGAAATTAACTTAAAATAATAATTATCTAAAAATGTTAGTCATTAGTTTTTTTTTATATTCTCCAATGACTTCTCTAACTTTGTATATTAAATATTATTTTTCCTAATATTTTAAGCTTATTAACGATATATTATACATTTATATTCTGTCTATGATATCTGAAAATTCATTCTCAACTTGAACATTTTTTCCTTTTTTTATCCTTCAGTCAATAATCAAATTCTTTCATAGTTTATACTAAGCATTTTTTTTTATTACAAAAAACAATTAGAGATAGTTAATTATTTAATATAAACGAAATAAAAAAAAGGAATGTTTTTGTGCACTGTTACGCTATATAAATGACAATAAGATCTAGTTGGTATTACAAACCATCTAATTATAACTTGATATAACAAGTATGATCAAAATCGTTAGAGCCGCTTTCAAGAAAATTGTAAAATCGATAGTATAAAGTGGCACTTCCGATTAGCCGATTTTAGAGGAAAAATTGCTGTACGTTTCAGGAATATGCAAACCTAAAATATGTAATATCAGTTTTGCACGACTTTCGGTTTTTGAGCTTGACAGTTCGCATACAAACACACACACATATAAGCCAATTTGTAGTACTTGGTTATTTGGAATTAAAAGACCTTAAACGGGTATTTCTGTTGAGAACTCAGGTTTGAAACTATATGAATAGTTGAGCCCATGAGTTGGCAATACTTTTCCTTGCTGTATATTACATATATAAGAGGGTGAAAGTAAGAAGTGGTTTTGAGGAGATGTTATACCATATTAATTCTTGTTCATAATATATAAAGTAAATTATGTTTCTGTTACGTTGTTACTGACATTTTAATCATTCAAAAATTATCAATAAGATAACATAATCTTTCAGATTAATTCACTCAGTGAACGTGCGTGATCTTCTTCGTAATGGGACAGAAGGAAGCAAGGCCAAAATGAATGTAGATGAAGAAAAGACGCCATTAACTTCATCAAACATTCCCTCCCGAGGGCCCCAAGAACTCATTCAAATTCTAGAAGGATTGGATAACGGAGCGGAATAGGATTCCTCGTAAATATTCTCCTGTTTATATTAATATGGTGGAATTTACATGGGGCCATTAGTAAAGCAAACTTGTTCAGCTCCTACCGTCGTACTATTGGAATCTATAGCCAACCCTCATCGACAGTTCCATTATTTTAACAATCACGACAGCAGCTTCCGTAATTTAAAGGGATTCTCGAACTGGAATATAAAGAAAAGTTAAGAATTTTATTTAGAGATGAATTTTTCCTATACACATAAATAAATTCTCAAATCATTTTTGAAACAGTTTTGTACTATAGAATTATTTAATCAGTAAACATATTCATTACAAGAAAACAAATATATATATATATATATATATATATATATATATATATATATAAAGAAAACAATAGATATTAAATTGACTTGACGGTATTAATTATGATCACGTAACTAGTTACGTAAGTAATTAAATAGATTATTAAAGATCTGGTTCGTTTTTGCCATCAGGTTATTTATATTAATACGAGTATATTGATAGCACTTCACTAATAACGAAACAAATAGTAATTAAGTAAAATAAAATAAAATGTTTCAGATAATAATTATCAATGTACGACATTTTAATATTATTCGTTTCCAGTGGCATCCTAGGCCCAACTCTTTCAAATAATCAGACTCATCGATCCGATAATCAACCGAAGACTTCAGAGGCTCTATCCCGAAGTGCTGGAGATCTAAAACTCTTAAAAGAAAAAGTATTTGACCATTTACACAACCGCTTGGAATCTGAACCTCTCCAATAAAAGCCGACGATCGCTTTGAGTAATGCAACTGAAAACTTTTAGTTTTATGGGCACACCTTTTTCAAAAAGGATTTAGTTGCAAGAGTAGGGTTTTTTTTTCTTTTCTTTTCAGTAGATTTCACAAAAGCCTTCTGGATCGGATTCCACTTTCTCACAGATGGCAGTGATCAATGACTTTGAGCCTCTCAAAATGGATATGCGCCAGTATCTTCTTGAGGAGTAGACGCCGCCTAGGAACTTTTCAAATTCTATAACGAGCGATTCGCCACTGCAGCATGTCTTATAAGAAGACAGGAGTTTTTGTACTCCTGATTTCACAATATCGTCGGTCAATGTGGATTTTTCTTAAACTACCAGTTAACTAACTAAAAAAAAAAAAAAAATGAAAATAAATTTGGTTAAAGAATCTCACTCATCCGGAACCCTGATTGTCCCAAATTGTTTTCTTTTTGGTAATTAAAATTAAGTCGTTTTGCATTATTTATTTATTGGACAAATGTCATTAGAAAAGTCTATTGATGATACATTTTAGCATTGCAACTGAATTATTTTAATTTTATTTGTTGTTTTTAAACTAACGTACATTTAAATATTTCAGTATTCTATCTCACAATTGATTTTAGAAAAATCGACATTAATACAAATTGGATCTCATTTGGCAGTATTAGAGAAAATGAATTTGTATTTAAAATAAAATATTACAAAAATATAATTTATATAATATTCATTGCCTCATTTATTGTTTTTACAGTTTAGTAATATATAATATTTGATTAAATTTCTTTATTATAAATATTTATTATTTAAAAATTATATTGACTTAAAATTTAATTCTGAAATTTACATAACAATTTAAATACACTTACATAACAAATTAATATGTTAAAGAGCAAGTGTGAAAGAAGTTAAACGGTTGTCAAAAAACAATTAAGTATTTGTATGTGGGAGAGTCTATAAGTACAACAAAACATTGGCTAATTTTAATATTCTTCTTTTTTAACAGAATTTTTGGCTTTTATAAAAATGTTTGCAATAATCGAAGGAAATCAAAATCACAAATATTTGTTTAACAATGATGAACGTCAGACCCAAATCATCGCATCTTATATTACTACACCGATAGTCAACTTAACTGATATAAGGAACAATTTAAAAAATCTAGTTTGTCTACTCATACGACTTTCCTACTTATTTCAGATAAGTTTTTATATCTTAAAATATGTCCATTATGACATAAAACAAAATAAAAATTGAATTAGATTTATTTCCCTGAGAATTGATCAAAGAAAAGATTTGAGTACGATTTGTTTGATAAACTAATGAAATGTAAACCGGTTTTGGAAGATCATTGTAAAAAATCCATACTCTCTAATATCGCTAATCAAAAACTTATTGCCTTAGCCCAATTTAGTCAGACAATAATTTCTGTTAAAAGTAGAGGAAATAGTGAAACTTGTGTGATGTGGGCACTAGATATTTTTACTTTCACTTACTTTTCTTTTTTCTCTCTCCCCTTTCTGGCACCAGGAATCGAACTCATAATCTTACATAAGACATTGAATAGCTGTATTTTCGTAATAATTGTCTGAAATGAACGATTTTTGTACAGTTTTGTAAGAAATTTCGTCGTCTTTCGAAAAAATACATAATTTATGTGTGTTTTGAATAGAAACATCAGTATTCATAAACCCAGAAAGTAAAAACAGAAGCAACAAAATCGGTCAAATAGTTCCCGAGATAATCTTAGCTCAGACAGGCCAATGGCTCAAAATGTGTATTTAGGGCACAAGGGGCTCTGAAACGCACGGATCCGTCGAAAACCGCAGTTAGGAAATTCGACCCAATCGCAATACTTTCCTTACCTAGTATCGGTAGAAAAGTAAAAGATTTGGGAACTGCTGGAAAATATCTAGTCTAGGTCACCATAAATGTGTAACGTACACGTAAAATATTTATAAAAAATACTAAATATACACAAATACACAATAAAAGCAGTTAATTAATATGGAATTACAGGACATGTTTTTTGTTTCTTTTTTTTCATTCCAAACTATAAAGTTTATGCTTACAACATATCGTCGACCCCATGTTAAAGTAATGAATGGGCAACGTTTAAAAGATTATGATTCGTTACTTTAACATGGTGAAATGGATTATATTGAATATCCTAGTCAATGTTTTTTAATTCTGAATTTTTGAATATCGAATGAATTGGCTGTAAATGAAGTAAGACATTCTAATTATAGTTGCGACTGGTGAATGAAAGCATTTTTTTCAGCAAAAAAGAAAATAGAATCAATTAGATCAAGATATCACAAAATAATTTCACTCCATGATTTCTCAAGAGATTAACTTGTAATTAATCATTCGTTATTTCACATAAAGTTGTTAAGTTATAATTATTAATATTTTTATTAATATGCAGTAGTAATTGGAAATATAATTGAATGAAAATATTATAAAACTCTAAAGAATGAAGATGAAGTGAATGATGAATGAAGTGCTTAGATCTAGTCAGTAAACCTAAGATTATTGGTCGCATGAATTCTCAATTTTTCTTTTTTGTAAAAATTAAATATGTAATATAATATCTTCTTCCATTGACACATTCCAGCATTAAATTTGATAATTATTTTTGTTATCAATGTTAATATTTTATATATGCTAATACGATGGGAAGTATGATCCATAAAATCATTTTTCATTTTATTTCTATCCCTAACTATTTTTGATGTATAATGAAGACTTCAGCTAGGTGGAGAAACGATCAGGTATATTCCTTTCCCACACTATATTTGAATTGAGGTAATGGACCACCTTATGACATCCATATGCCCTCTTTGGGATCTCATGAAGAACTGTATTTACCGAGTACACGCGAACAGAAATACCCACTCTATGTGATGGCAGCTGTACAATAATAGAGTAGCCGAAGATATATTTTTAATTTACTACAGTTTTCTTGTCATTCATTAATTCACCATTAAATAAATTAATGATAGCAAAAAAAAAAAAAAAAAAAAAAAAAAATATATATATATATATATATATATATATATATATATATAACGCAACAATTATGGCTTTGCTATAATTTCTTGTTTACCTTTTTGCTAAAAACATGGATACTTTTAGATGAGAGGGTCAAATCATCTAATTTTTTTTAGACAACTCGAGGTGAATCTCAACTTATTTCTCAATAAACTTCAATTCAATTATAATGGACTTAATACTTATTAAATAAGAGATTTTTTTTTAAAGTGAGGTATCTACAGTTTAGTTGGTGTTTGTTTAAAAAAATGGCGGTTAATTCGTGATTTATAAAAAAACAAAAAACTTAGATAAATTTATTCGCTCAAAATGCCTCTTTAAATGGTTTTAAGGTAAACCGCTCTAGTACAATCTCCGCTAGGTCTAGTACCAGTGATGCAGTTGAGAGAGTAGCACAGGGAACTCCTGAAGATCTGATTTTCCCTCCATAGTTGGAGGAACAAGCCTGCATCTGAGTTCTCTCGCCTGTATGTTTGTCTTGCTTTTTTAAAGTTATTTTATTTTATTTATTGTATATACTTTTTGATTATTATTTATTTGATACTTTGCTTTTGTTTATTTTGGAGTGGGGTAGCTCCGTGGTAGGGCACTAAGCTTCCAATGTTCAAGGTCCCAGGTTCGAATCCCGGCTCTTGGAAGAAAAATTATTTATCCTGTTTCATTGGCCGTGGGGCGACCCTGGGGTAGGGAAATCCTCCTGGGGCACACCCAGCCTCTACAAAGTGGGTACCCTTAATTAAATAATTTATTAAAGGGAAAAACCTGGCGGTTGAGCGTGATCCTGGTCTGATCCCCTCCATGCACAACTGTTATCCTTCAAACAATACTTTCCTTAAATAGTACTGAATATCTTTATGGGTTGTAGTGGTACAGGTTTTTTTTTTTTTTTCATATTGTATGAATGTGGATCTTACCTCACTATAAGTAATGTCCAAGTGACAGAATGTTAAGTATATTCAATAAATAAAAAAAAAAAATGGTTTTAACAATGACAAACTCTAGTTTTACTTCAAGTAAATTTTGTCTAGTTAACTGTGAAGCAATTGTTCATTACTTACATTAAACACTTATTGCGTAAGGGCTAAAAATTAAATGAGCCTCAGTGGTTAAGAAATCGCCATTATTGGAAATAAATAAATAAAATAGTTTTTTATCTATCGCTTTCTATTTATAAAAA